CTGTGACATCCTACAGTAGCACTTCTGAACGCTGCAGGCTGAGAAAGGAGAAAACTGGAGCCGAGAACATTGGCTTCCATCTTTGCCTCTGTCTGGATCCTTTCCCTCTGGTGGGGCCGGAATCAGGAGGGAGCTAAGGGTGGGCAGCCACGTGGCTCAGCCCCTGAGCCCTGTGATCTGGCTCTGAGTGAGGCCAGGGGTGTGCACAGGAGGTAGGCGGAGGAGGGCCAGGAGGCAAGAGGGAGATGGGGCACCGTTCCCTGAGCTGCAGGCCAACCAGTCGTTTTTCCTGACTGGGCAAGCAGAGCAGAACACAAGAAAAATAAAAAGAAAGGAGGCTGATGCTTATGGGGATAATGAGAGGAGTGGACGAGCATTGTGTCGGCTCCTGGAAAAGAGATGACAGCTCTGTTATCTCCGTAAAAGCCACAGACCAGCTCTCGGTAGACCAGGGTTCCAATGCAGCCTGACACCGGGAGTAGTGTGGGTAGGAGTCAGGTCATATCATGTTTTATTAACTAACACCGCCCCCCCACACTCCCACACACACATAACACACTGTGGATTACCATTCGTTCAGCAAGCATTATCAGTATAGTGTAGCATGGACCCTGGAGCCAGGCTGCTTGGCTTTGACACTTAGAGACTGTATAACACTCTGTAAAATGGGGATAATAATAATAGTACCTAGTCCTCTGGTTGTTATGAGGATTAAATGAGCTAATGCACTGTAAAGTAGATGCATGGTACATAGTAAGCTCTTGGAAATGTTAGCTATTCTGACCATTATTACTCCTCTGCCAGGTCCTTTGCCAGGAGCTGGGTTTCTGCCCTGGAGACCCTCCGATCATACAAAGGAGGTACAAGCAGTAACTGCACCGTGCGGTAAGTGCAGTAAGAGAGCTGTGGCCCAGGGGAGCATGGACAAGAGCAAGCTCACTCTGCCTGTGGAAATCAGGGAGAGCTTCATACAGGAGATAATATTTGATTTGGGTCCTGCAGGGTGAATAGGAGTTCCCCAAATGACGAATAAGGGAAGAAGGACATATGAACCTAGATTGGGCAAAAGCTTAGAGACATGAAAACCTGGGATACGTGACCCTGTGAATCTGGCTCTCAAGTTCTGTAGGAATTATAGAAGGAAATGAGAATGGCAGGAAAACCAGGTCAGACTGCAGGGCCTCGTGTCATGCTAAGGCATTTGAATTTTGTTCTGTAAAAAACTGAGACTCACTACGGAATTTTAAGCAAGGAGATCGCATGATCAAGTTTGTGTTTTGGGAAATAACACACTTGTGGGTCATGAAAAATAGATTAGAAAGTGAGAAGACTGCAGAAAAACACACACAGGAGGATTTTGCAATGGCTCGGGCAAACACAAAGGAGGAGAAAGTATTCTAGTGCTTCTGGACTGGCTGGCAGATTACACTGAGGCCAGGGTTCAGGGTACTGACACCTACTGTGTGTCAGAACTGTGCCAGGTCCCAGGGCTCCAAGAATCAGATTTGACACAGGCCACTGGGGAGTTTGTAGAGCAGGTAGAGAGGAGAACAGAGGAGGGCAGGGAAGTGGCACAGGTCCTGGGCTGGACACACACTAGGGGGATGCTGGAACACATAGACAGAGTGCTTATGGCTACCCATGGGGTTGGAGAGGAAAGTGCTGTCAGGAGATCATCCTAGAGGATGCAACAGCTGGCGGACAGAAGGGTCAGAGAGCAAAGATGTGGAGATGTGAAATAGCCTGGAGGATTCTGGTTGCTGTGAGACAGTCACATGATTAGGGTCTAGAGTTTGAGAAATGGGGCTGGAGAAGTAAGGAGGAGTCAGAGCTCAGCCAAAGGTGTGGATCCCAATCTCTCACAGTGGCAGCCTTTAAAAATACAGATCTAGGGCTTCCCTGGTGGCGCAGTGGTTGAGAGTCCACCTGCCGATACAGGGGATATAGGTTCGTGCCCCGGTCCGGGAAGATCCCACATGCCGCGGAGCGGCTGGGCCCGTGAGCCATGACCGCTGAGCCTGCGCGTCCGGAGCCCGTGTTCCACAACGGGAGAGGCCACAACAGTGAGAGGCCCGTGTACCGCAAAAAAGAAAAAAAATACAGATCTATTTGAATCAGCATCTCTAAGGCGGGGGGTGGGGGGGGGGCTCAGACATTTTTAAGAGCTCTCTGGTGAATCTGACCTACACCATAGGCTAAGAACCACGGTTACGGGGACAGGAAGTCACTGAAAGGTGACCTGGTCAGATCCACGCCTTAGGAAGATCCAGGTGGAAGGTGGAGGCCAGAGGGAGGGGTGAGGCAGGGACACTCGTTCGGGAGCCCCAGTAGTGGTGTAGTACCATGGCAGGTGAGGGGGGAAGCTGCCAAAGCCACTAAGGAAATACGACTGACAGAACTTAGGGAGTCCATACGGTTGGCGGGGGGAGAAAGAGAGGAGCTGAGGGTAAATCTGCATTTTAGGGATGAGAAACTGAGGCCTGGATCAGTGGTTCTCAACAGTTTTGAGTGTGAGGATTTCTCTTCAACATAAAAAAAAATGTGATGATAGTTAAACTTGCATTAATAGAAAATGCCTAAGGACGCCAGCTACGTGGATTTCTAAAATGATCGCTAGACCATTTTAAAGAACTTGCATCTTATTCATCACAACAGCATAGATATATACATGAACAAGAACATTGGAAGCAGAACAACCTGGATTCCAGTCTTATCTCTACCATTACTAGACGTGTGACCTTGGGCACATGAACTATCTGTGCCTCCGTCCCTCACCTGTCAGATGGGTGTTCAACAGTACCGCATCATGGAGTTGTACTAGGATTGAAGAGTTGTTCGTGTAGAGGGCTGAGAAGAAGGCTTGAGGTATGGTAAACTTCAATGAGCTTTAGCTATTACTATAATTTTTATTCAGGTTAAAGATGATGCTTGGTGCAACTGTGGATGTGAGGATGCCCAAGGTCATGTGTGGTGGCCCCAGGTCGGCCTGAGTTGCTCCTGCCCTCCTGAACTTTGCAACATGGGGCATAATTAACTACATATGTCCACGTGTCATCATCACATGGCGGCAGTGTGACTGTGCCTATGTAAGGCAGTGTCATTACCCAATATTCCATTGCATGGAGCAGGATGCCATCTGTTAAGTTAGACTGGAGTTCCAGGATGATGTAATTGGAGGGTGGAAGAGGCATCCCAGAACCTTGGAGGACCTCACCTTGGAAGGCAAAATGCCATTACCACTCCCCTGAGCCTGGCTTCTCGAGGACCTGAGGAACTCTGGAAGCAATGCTGACTAAGCAGCCCCCTGACCAGTGTTGTCTGGTCATGCCAGCTGATGGTGTAGCAGGACTGCTCAGCTGGCCCACAAATTGACAACCTCTGGACAGGATCATGAACAGTGAGCAGAAAGGGATTTCAGGGTCCCCCAGTACAACTGCACTCCCTGTGTGGCTGCAGACATGGTTCATTTCTCCCCTCCCTGTCTTTCCCCTCCCTTTGGTTGACAACCAGAGCCCTTGGGGGTTTCCGAGTATACAAGCAATGTCTTGGCCAGAAGTAAAGAGGATAAGGAAGCTTCTTCCCCGAGAAGAAATGGTCCCTGGTTGGGCCAGGCCAGGGTAGAATGTGGGGTCTGGTGGGGGGGGGGGGGGGGTTGAGCCCCTGGCAGAGTGCCAGGAGCCAGCATGTCTGCAGAAAGGAAATGACAGCTTGCAGAAGGTTTCTGTCCTCAGTACACAGCCTTAGAAAGCGTCAGAGGGCTGTCAGGCCAGAGGGGCCTCCCAGGATGAAGGACGTGTCCTGTAGCACTGGAGGTAAAACGTTAACTGCCTCAGCAGCTGGACAACCCCAAGGGGAGGGACACCCAGGACTGAGGTGGAGTTTTCCACTGTCCCAGTGACAAGAGTGCTCAGATTCAGAAACTAAGTTAAATTATAGAAGAAAGTTTAAATTGTAAAATAATTTAACTACTTAGTCAGTGGACTGCAATTGATACCTGCCACACACAGATGAGAAAACTGAGGCTCAGAGAGGGCAAATGAGTAGCCCTCATTCAGGTTAAAGGCCACAGTTAGCATGGAAAGGAGGTAGAGCCAGAATTGGACCCAAGTTTGTGAGACTCCAAGCCCAGCACTGCTTACCTTAAAAATGGGTCAGGAGGTGGCAGCAAGCCCAAATGTCCATCAGGAGGGGCTGCTCAGACAAATACGGGGCAGAGAGTGAGAGAGAGCCTTATGCGTCAATATGGAGTGATCATCAAGATATCCTACTGAGTAAAAATAAAAGGCTTAGTTGCTTGAACCTATCGCTGGTATGTGCGTTAAGTTAAATCTGGCAGCACGCAAGAAACTGGTATGCTGGTTGTGTCCTGAAGGAAACTGGGTTACGGGGAAACAGGCAGGGGGAGAAGACTTTTCCCCGGTGCAATCTTTCGTACCTTTTGGATTTTGAATCAAGAGAAGGTATTAGTTTTTCATATTTTTACAGCAATAACATTTTTAAAACAGAGATCGAGGGGCTTCCCTGGTGGCGCAGTGGTTAAGAATCTGTCTGCCAATGCAGGGGACACGGGTTCGAACCCTGGTTTGGGAAGATCCCACATATGCCGCGGAGCAACTAGGCTCGTGAACCACAACTACTGAGCCTGCGTGTCTGGAGCCCGTGCTCGGCAACAAGGGAGGCCGCGACAGTGAGAGGCCCCCGCACCACGATGAAGAGTGGCCCCCGCTTGCCACAACTAGAGAAAGCCCTCGCACAGAAACGAAGACCCAACACAGCCATAAAGTAATTAATTAATTAATTAAAAAAAAAAAAAGGGCTTCCCTGGTGGCGCAGTGATTGAGAGTCCGCCTGCCGATGCAGGGGACACGGGTTCGTGCCCCGGTCTGGGAAGATCCCACATGCCGCGGAGTGGCTGGGCCCGTGAGCCATGGCCGCTGAGCCTGCGCATCTGGAGCCTGTGCTCCGCAACGGGAGAGGCCACAACGGTGAGAGACCCACGTACCGCAAAAAAAAAAAAAGAGATCGACAGAGAATTTCCTTGTTCAACCCTCTTAAATGTGATGAAACAGACTTCTACTGAGCACCCAGGCTGTGCCAAGCCTCAGGTGGGTGCTGCGGGTTATGCCATGATGGGCAGGATGCTGCCTCTACCCACCAGGAGCCACTCACCCCAGGTGACCCAGACCCCCAGGCTGGCTGAGGGGTACGCTACCACAAGACGCCCACAGCTCCTCCCTGTTGCGTATTTGCCCGGACCCCCAGCCACCCGAGGCTGTGAGCCTCAGTTTGTGAGGGGTGAGGGTCTGACCCAGATCCAGCCCCTGTGGGCCTGATGACCACAGGGCAGTTGAGCCCAAACTGCTCAGGGCCACACCTCTCCTTCCTGGCAGAGTCTCCAGACAGGGCAGTGGGGAGGTGGGGAGCCTGAGCCGCCTCCCTGTGGAAAGGGTCATAGACAATCGCGCCCTTTCTTCTCTTGCTTTAAGCACTTACTGTGCAGATCAAATAAGCAGCGAGCCCCCAAGATGGGATTCAACCTGGGTGGGAGTGTGAGCAGGTCCTGACCCTCTGGAAATGTAGCTGTAATCCACCACATTGGAGAGCCACCTCCCCACTGCCTCAACTTCCCTGCACGTTTCTGTCCCCACATTCCGCCTCCTAGCTCCATCCTAGGGGTCGGCAACTGCAGCAGCAACCCAGGTATCTTAACTTCCCACCACTTTTCCCAGCCTTCACCTTCACCTTGACACACCAAAAAGAGATAAATACCTCCCTTGGGGTGAAGCTTCGACAACTGGTGTCCCCGAGACTCCAAGAAGGGAAGCTCTTTCTGGAGGAGGCTAAGGGTCTGGCTATATGAAGCCAGTGAATCGCAAAATGCTCTCCCAGCCAATGCTTCCAATGAAGCAGCTCTCCAGGGACCTGATGATAGAAAAAGTAAACATCATCAAGTTTTCTAAGTAATCAGCTGAGGCGGCAGGCACTTTCGATGGGCTGTTACTTAACACTTAGCTACAAGTGTGTTGCAGTTTTTTAACTGAGGAGAATTGTTAGAGGTGATGGTCTTACTTGAGTGGGTCTTCTGGGATGACATGGACAGGGGACATTTGGGTTTCCTCATGTACTTTGTGTGATGACCATACAGCCTTCAACGCTCTCCTGAGTGTGATATACATGGAGAAGCTGAAAAAAGACACTGACATTGTTCACACGGACAGTGACTTTAGGTCTTACATAAAATCTTTATTCTGCCTTACCTTTGCAGTGTGATCCCAGGCCAGACTTTTCCCTCTCCCTCAGAGCATCCTGGCAGCCAAACCAAGGCTGTCTCTTGTGCTAACTCACACGCAGCAAGACTCCATTCCCTTAGCAACCTCCTAGACAAGATGACCCAGGGAAGGACTGTCACTGCTCAGAGGACACATCCCACACCCCTCACATTTGGGAACGTAACAGCAGGGGAGTGAGGGGCATTAGAAGAAAGGCAATTGTTAGGAGGAGGAATGAAAGAGTCTGACGCTTTTCATTCCTTTTCCTCTGTTAATTTGGCCTGTTTTCCAAACATGGGTCAAACAATCTCCCTCCCAGAAGCAGCAGCAGCAGAAGGAAATGTTATTAAAAACGGGTCCGTTAGTGGGCATGGTGTGTGGATGAAGTCTTTGGGAGTCTTGGCTGCTAAATAAAGACTTTATTGTTGTCATTCCTCCTTTCCCAAGCTCCCTCCCTCTCGTCTCTCCTCCCTCCCTTCTCCCCTCCCTCCCTCCCTTCTCCCCTCCCTTCCTCACTCCTCCCTTCCCTCCTTACAATTTGCCCGGCCCTCCCCCAACCTAACCTCCCCACCCCAATAGGATCCGGTGAAAGAAAAGCCAGGCAAACACAAGCAGGCACACACCACTGAGAGATCAGAACTTCTATCTGGCTCTCTGCTGCCACAGCTCCACCAAAGGGTGGGGGGAGACGGAGGGAGCCTTGCCGACTAAACCCAGAGCTGAGAGGAGAGGCAGGTGGTGCAGGTAAGTCCAGTCTGGAGATGGGGAGGAAGGCTCCTGCCTCCAGCCAGTTTCTTCCTGCTCTATCCAAGCTAGTTTATTGATCTAGTCTGTATCCTCTCCTTCCTTCCTTCCTTCCTCCCTCCCTCCCTCCCTTCCTTCCTTCCATCCTTCTTTCCTTCCTTCCACCAAATTTTTCTCCTTTCGAAGGAGCTCAAATTAGTCTTCCTCATTTCTTCTCCACCCTCTTCCTTCTCTGCATCATTCTGTACCCATGTATTTGCTTGTTGCAAAAGCTGAACTTTCTTGGTACAGATGTTTGTTGTAGCGCAGAGTTATGCTGCACACAGTATTTCTACAGATCAAGTTCCCATAGAAACCCTACTCTAGAACCCATTTCTCTGCACCTTTCACGTTTTGTCACACACTGTCACAGGCACACACACGTGTCACACAGAGGCTGCACTCTCACTCCACATGCACACCCACGAATACGCACACAATATGAAGGCATCCTGTCCATTCACCTCCACTCTTCTGCATTTGACATGCAGGGCTAGAGCACATAGTGATGAGACACTGGCAGGGACACACACAGGCACGTGCACACACGCTGCATCTTGTCTCTTGCCCTCTCACATGCCTCCCCAGCTGTAAGAGAAAAGAGAAAGTGTGTTTCCCCACTGAGATGGCAGAGCCAAAAGAAATCATGTGTCCTGAGTCCAGGCGGAGTAGGAAGGGCATGAACAACTGCAGGAGCTGGAAGGATTTCTTCTTTCTTCAGAACATAATTGAGTGGGAGAGAGAAAAGCAGGTTTCCAACCTGCACAGTGTCTTCCTAGTAGCTCTGACTTTGGAGGTACTAATTCCCAGCTCTGGGGGCAATTCATTTCTTTTTTCTGCAGGCAGCTAGAAAAGATTTCTCTTTAAAGCCACTTCAAAATTATCCCACATTGGTAAGGGGTCCCTGTGGGAGAGGAAACAAGACAGTAGTTCCTTAATCAGTCAGGGAGGGGAAAACTGAAGTGGCCAACCGAATGGGGCTTGTTTCCAAATAGGGTGGTCCCTCTCCATCTCCCCAACTCATTCCTCTGTGACGACACAGAGTGCTATCCCAAGGCAGGCAGGGCATGGGCAAGAGCAGGGTCTCCAAATATGGGTGCTCTTCCAAACGCCCTGCGTGCAGGGGAGGGGGAGACCGGTGCTTACTAAAAATGTAGATGTCTGGACCCCTTGCTCCAGACCCACTGGATCAAGACCCAGGAATCTATTGTTGTCTCAGGACTTGAAGGTCAGCTAGGGCTTGAGAACCTGAACCAGGGGCCTGAGGAGACCTGTGTGGAATTGAAGAGCCCAGGCAGTTAGCTGCGCAGAAGTGCTGTGTGGCTTCCTGGACAAGGACTGTCTGATGGAGGAGCTCCCGAGGGTCCCAAGTGGGCCATCCTCTTTTGCGGAGTAGAAAAAGCTCCTGAGGGAACAGGGAAGACCTCCTGTGAACTCTCACCCTCCTTCTCCTTGTAAGCACTGACAGGTATGTCGTGGAGGTACATTCCAGAAAGAAAGTTCCCCCAAGGTAGCTCCAAAGAGTTTATGTTTCCTCTTACCTGCTAATCTGCCTTCCCTGGGCCCCCAGGGGCATGCGTGGGGCTCGCCTCCATCCCTTCTAGATGCCCCCCTCCCCTGCCCAACAGCTGTCTGTTCTGACGGGCTCACACAGAGGATGGGCTGAACACTCCCCCTTCACCTTCCTGGGAGAGGGGGCGGCAGCCCTATTTATTGGGCCTGTGGGAGAAGCTGGAAGGGGCAGAAAGGCCAGGTGCAACAGGTTGGGATGGGAAGTCATGGGTCACAGTGGGACTCCACAGCCTGCTGAGGACAGGAGGTCAGCATCCCCTCACCTGCTTCAGAAATGCTAGGGGTGGGGGTTACTGAATTGGAGGGACAGAGTAAACGTTCCCCGAATGGCCGGGGGCATCTGTGTTCTCTCTAATTTGTTGGTTCTGAGACCCAAGTGTGGCCTCACAGGCCCCAAAGAGGAGGAAATTGCTCTATGTAGGAAGGTTGGGAGAAATCCATGTGCCCACCTGCATAGATCAGCCTTTCGGTGGAGGGCAGGGCTGTCCTCTGGCCAAGCTGGAGGGAAAGAGACCACATTACTTTGAAATAATGTCAATAATAGCTTAACATTCACTGAGCCTCACTTTTCACACATTTCCTCACTTAACCTTCAAAATAATCTGATAAGAAGATGTTAGTATGCCCATTTTACAGATGAGGAAACTGAAGCTTAGTAGAGGTAAGAGATTTCTCAAGAGTACCCAGCTAAACAGCTGATGAGTTGCAGGGTTGAGACCCACATCTACAAGTACCCAGTGCATCAGACAGATTCTTTTATGCTTTTTTCAGGGCTTGGAGATGTTAGGGGATGGAGGCAGAGAGAAGGATACGGTGAGGTGACAGGCTGTCAGAGGACTAGAACCATTCTCACGCTTGTTTCTTCCCCAGGCCCTTGGAATGGAAAACTTGCTCTTCTGGACTAGTGGCCTGAGGCCAAAAAAACACTGTGTTTACACTTTGCCTGGTGGTAGACACTGGGGAGACAGATTGTCTCTCCATAATAGTGTTATATTGATTTTTAGCACTTTCTGATCTGTAGCACATTTTAAAGTTGCTTATCACACTTCTGAAAACAACTGGATGAGGAAGATAGGGATAGGGAAAACTTCGTTATCTCCATTTTACAGATAAGGAAACTGAGGCGAGAACAGGGTCACGTCACTAGGTCGAGGTAGACGGGCTGCAACCCCACGTCCCCTGTCTAATATGCACCATGATGCACTCCCTGCCTCTGCCCCAATCAGGCTCACCCTTACTCTGATTTCACTCCCCAGGAAAGGGACAGTGCATCAGTGATGTGCTGAATTTATCATGCCTCCTTGTCAACCCTTTCCTTACCTCAGGACCCCACAAGCCCTACTTGGAGGCCTTGGAAGAGTCTCAGGCAGCCTGGCTGGGCCTGCCTCTCTCCTCTGCTAACAGCTGGTCAGAGACCACCTGATTCCCTAGCTTCCAACTCTCTTCTGGGCTGCAGGAAGAGATAAAGGGAACAGGATAGCTTTCAGAAGTCTGAGTTTAGGACAGAAGGAAGGGAATAAAGAAAGAGGGTCATCCCAATGTCCATGGGTGTGTCCAGGGGCAACCCCATCCTCCGTGGTAGGGTCACTGGCTGTGTTAAGCCATGGAGGCTCAGGGGTGACAAGCTAGATGGGAGATCTGACAAGAAAGAAGAACACCAGGAAGTAGCGTGGAGTCATCCTTCTTTAACCCGGGGAGACACACCCAACCTCACTCCCAGCCCAGCCCCAATCCTAGACTCTCTCCACACAAAGCCAATTATCCGTAAACCTGCCCTAATGACTTGGCAAACCCGTGTGGACCTCAACCCTGCCCCCAGTCCTGAGGCTAAACATTGCAAGGATCCTGGGAGTTTGAACCTTAAATGAATGAATGTATGAGCTAAGCAGGGACAGGGCTATCTCACTTTAAAAATCAGAGTCTCTCAGACTTCCCTGGTGGTCCAGAGGTTGAGACTCTGTGCTCCCAGTGCAGAGGGCATGGGCTCAATCCCTGGTTGGGGAACTAAGATCCCACATGCCACACAGCACGGCCTAAAAAAAATAAACAAATAGGTCAGAGTCTCTCTAGAGAATATGCCCTTTTATAAACAAATAAATGAATAAACGAAACCACTGCCATCTGTAGAGATTTTATGCTCTACAACATGCCTTAATGCGTGTGATCCTCACACAGTTGAGGAGCCTGGGGCCTGAGGAAGAGGGTCAGAGCCAGGATTCAAGCCCAAATCTCTAATACTTGGAACTGAAATTTGAATTTAAAACTCTCTTAGAAAATGTTCTTAGGGCTTCCCTGGTGGCACAGTGGTTAAGAATCCACCTGCCAGTGCAGGGGACATGGATTCGAGCCCTGGTCCGGGAAGATCCCACATGCCGCGGAGCAACTAAGCCCGTGAGCCACAACTACTGAGCCCGCGTGCCTAGAGCCCGTGCTCCGCAACAAGAGAAGCCACCGCAATGAGAAGCCCGCGCACCGCAAAGAAGAGCAGCCCCCACGCGCCGCAACTAGAAAAAGCCTGCGTGCAGCAATGAAGACCAACACAGCCAAAAGATAAATAAATAAATTTATTAAAAAGAAAAAAAGAAAATGTTCTTAAATGAGGGAGTGAATTTTGGGTCAGTCAAAGCAATTGCTTTCCCCCCACAAACGAGCAGCTTTTTGAGAACCGATGCTGGTGAACAGGCTGCAGGAGGAGGTGAGTGGTTCTAGGTGGTCCACATGCGTTCACTGAGCAAGCAGTGAGCACAGCCTGGCAGAAAGCTGGGAGGCGTGCTTGCAAAGGCATACGAAATTTAAAACTCACACACACTTACGACCCAGCCTAAGGCACTGTTATGACCGGACAGAAGGTTCTGGAAGACAGGAACATAAGAAGGTGTGACTCTGGGCTTTGTGAGGAAGACTGTGGCTCCCCTTGGAGTCCAAGGACCTCCAGTCTGTCACAAATTCTGGTTTGGAGACTTAGACTCTGGGGGCTGCCCAGACTCCAGCAGGACGGGGCACTGCCTGATGAGAAAAGCCTTAGAAATGAGCACTATTTCCTAAAGAAGGAAGTGTGTGCACGTGCAAACACACACACACACACACACACAGACACACACAGAATGGTTCAGCCACAGGCTAAGAGAAGGAGAATTGAACAGATCCAGTTTCTCCACGGAACAGGCCCAGGAGCTTCTCCGTGGGAACCTCCTCTCATCTCTGAGAGGAGCTTGACCAGCCCCAGAGGTCTAGAGTGTAGAAGGGTCAGAGGACCCATGGGAAGATAAGAGAAGTTCCCAAAAGGTCTGGCATAGGAGGTGGGGATGAGGAAGTCCTGTGTTCACGTGGATGGAAGGAGTGGAGGGCAGGCCTGCCAGGTGGAGCTGTGACTAACCCGTGATTCTGTCACCCCTGACAATGAGGCCAAGTGCTGCCCAGGCCCTGAACCACCAAGAAACACTCCTGAGCGAGGGCCAGCTGCCTGAGTCACAGTGCCTCACAGAGCAGGCTTCCACTCTGGACGAGCTTTTCTTGCTTCCCTCAGGGCCCAGCACCAGGTAGATGCTCTTGGTGACAAAGGCAATGAAGGGATAGAGGGCCCAGCCAGCCTGGGAAGCCTCCCCAGGGCAGGGCTTCTCACACCATGAGAGATCTCTTGCTTATTGTCAGGCTTCTGGGCGATCAGGAAATAAAAAACGCCAAAGCAAAAAAATTCAAGGTCACAAAAATTGGGGCTCTTAAAAATGTTTGATTTTAGTACACTAATGTTTTAACCACCTGTTTAAAATCTATGTGCAATATGGTTGTGCTATTTTCAAGAAAATTACAGGACTTGTAACATATTAATTCATGGTTCACCAGTTACAAGTGGTGTGGGGTCCGGCAACAAGACTCAAGTTTGGTTTTACAATGAATGTCTTTTCTTCTCAGTCCTTTTGGTGTATCCCCAAAACTGTTACATCCTCAACTGGAGATAAAGACAAGAATCTAACTGCAAG